GAAAAGGGTTTGATTTTGTATTTTTTTTAGTGTGCATTAAATAATAAAAACCAAATTAATCACGAGACATCTTAGTAGTTGGCTTTGATTAACGAGTAACTTTCACCATTAAAGCATTTAGTGTTGTCTTTATTATTATTAATTATTATTATTATTATAAAATGTGATATCCTTTCTTTTATTTTTCGAAAAAAAGGGATTTAATTACTTCCGAAACTTGGAATCATTTTTGGGTTGATTAATGATCGTAGGGTTTTTAAGAGGGCGAGTTAGTTGGACTTTTATGTACGTTGACCAAAATCTTCTTTGATAAGAAAACATGCATCGATGAGGTGTACACTATAAATTTATTTATATCCATTTAAATAAATTTATTCATATACAATTATAAAGTCTGAGGGCGATTTGTCTTTGGTTAAAAAAATATTGGTGTTATTTCTTATGTTTTTATAATGATGACGTAGGGGTAAAATACGAAAGTCTATAAGATTAAAAAAAATGTTTTAAGGTATAATTTAAGTGAGTATGTTGTTTTCTTTATCCAATATGATGTTAAGAGACTCAAATCTCTCAATATTGGAATCTTACATAAGATCTTTGTATGTGTTACGAGATCAATGATCGGAAGATTCTACAAAATGAACTTATATTCAATTTATTCGTAATGTTTTGAGTGTGCAATATACATTATTACTTGATGTTGACTAAGACGACAATATGGAGCCAACTTTAATTTTTTAAATATTAACCATAATTTTTGTTGTTGTAGACCGTAAGAAATAAGAAAAAAAAACATCTCAATTACAAAAAGAAACAAGATTATTATCATCTACAAGTAAAAACTTAAGATCACAAATGGAATATCATGAGCGTAATATGCTTACTTCATGATGAACTTTTGAAGTGATGATGCTCTATGATTCTTGTCGCAACTTGTGATGCTCGATTCAAGTTGAAGAAACGAATTTTTTAGGTTCGATAATATAATAAAACTAGAGAGGTGTTATCGGATCATGTTAAGATCTTAATCTTAATCATGATCCAAAGATCTCACTATATATCTTGTTTCATATAGATCCTAGTAAGATCAGGATATTTTTGGTTTGTAAGATTTTAAGATCAAAATCGGGATCTTAACAACTAAGAGTTATAATGTTAATGTGTCTATGTTGCCACTTCGGTTGTAATTATGTTTTTTAAAGATTAATATAACAATAATAATCGTAATCTACACATAGCAATATTTCTTTCTAAATCCTAATTCGAAATATATTTTCAATGTATAATTTAATTTAGGCTATTGAATTTGGATGACCTGTCATACTTTATTCACCCTCTCCCATTTAATATATGGAGAAAAATATAATAATTATTATCAAATAAATGTCATTAAAGTTTTTTTATAATTAGAAGAAACAAATTCAAGAAGGAATATTAAAACTCAATTATTTCAAAAATAAGTATGTGATGTAAAAATACCTTTTGAGAATTTAAATAAAATAAAATGACAATAAGAGTAAATAACATAAATCATATATATGCTATTTAACGTAAGTGTATTGCAAAGGAATTCTCTTTTGCACCATTTTACGAGTAAATCTGGATGTTTATAATATGTACATATTGTCTCTATTAAAAAGTTAATGTAGTAAAACTAAGCATCGTCTTTGGTGATTAGGTTATTTTAAACGTAATGATTTAATCTAGGCAATTGATGTTTATGTATATTCATATCATTCAAATCGTCTTTATGTACACAAACATAAAAACCTTATAATGAATTGTTCTATTTTTAACTCATAGCAAAATTGGTTTTCCAAAAGCTTGATTTGATGTTGAATCTTTCAAGTTGTTGTAGTCGACTATGTATCGGGCCACCTCGTAGTAGAAACCAGCTTAATTACGTATTAAAGAGCCTTTTACTTAACAATAACAAAGTGTATGAAAATGTGTTCCTTCCAAAAAGTTGAGACTTGAGAGTAAGTTTTGTCGTGGACAAAATGATTAGTTTAGAAGTAAGATTTAGAGAATGTGCGTGTTAGCCACTTAAAAAAACAAATTGAAAATCTACCCTATATATTTGGGGGTTTGGTGGGTTAACCCCAATAACCCGATTCTGACTTTTTGAATATATTAAATCCAGCCATATTTACCTTATATGGGTTCAGGCTTAGAGAAGGTTAATCGAGTTAACACACTTTTGACACCCTTATCTATAACACTCATAATTACACATTCAAATTTACATATATGGTAAACTAGGTCTATAAGGCTTGAGGGTATACAACGGGAAGGATGAGCGGGAAAATTTCTCTCACCTCGGAACACAATATCGAGGATATGGGAATCGCTATGCGGGAATCGTGTGAGGGGAGGCTATCCCACATTCTCTCTCTTTGTATGATCTATCAGTTTTTTTTTTTAAATCAAAATTTTTTAATATTTATTAAATTATATATATATACAAAAATATATATTAAAATTCATAGTTTTTAATTCAAATGAAGATAGTGAAATGAGATTATACTATTTGTATAAATGTTTTTTAAATGAAGATAGTGAAAGGTTACCATTTACTGCCTTTTTGTGAGTGAAATGAGAGTGGGGGAAAACCGGCGTGACACTAAAAAAGCGAAAGATGATTTTTTACCATACCATGTGGTCTAAATGAACCGATTCTCACATCTATTGATGCAATCGGATCCTTGTTTTATGGACGAGCATTATGGAGTAATAACGGAAATTTAATTGGTCTTGGACCATACCATAACTGATTCCTATATATGGTAAGGTACTATGTTCCATAAGGCGAAAGGGAGTGGTGCCACAGAAATTACACTTCCCTCACTGTCACGTAAGCGGCACGTAAGTTTTTACCACAAAAGTACGGTTCCTTACCACACTCAAGGTGTGATACCACACTTTTTTTTAACAATTTAATTTAAATAAAAACTTTAATTTTCATAAAATCATAACATTTCATTACTTAAAAATTAAAATCCATTACATTACATTACTTTAAGAAAAAAACATGAATTTTTTTTTTTAAAAAAAAGAACTACAAACTTAAAAACACACATGAAACGATTAAAATCACTTAAAAACATAAATAAAATAACTAAACCATACTACATGAAATTGTCTTCCGATAATTTGTCTTCTAGGTCATCCGAGGGATCCAAATTGAGGTTAATGTGTTGAATCGCATAAATTTGTTACACCAAGTCCATGCGAAGATTGTGAAATATTTCAGTGTTGCATACATCTGCTCTCCTATCCATGTACTCGTCGCTACCAATTTCTATTGGTTGTGTCTCGGGAATGATTTTCTGCCCGTCATACGCACATATCGGTCTTTCTTCATATTCAGTCATATTATGCAATATGATACATGCATACATGATTTCTTGAAGTTTTTCCTTGCCGAAATAAATTGATAGTTTTTTCAGTATGTACCAACGTTTCTTAAGAACTCCAAAAGCCTGCTCGACATCCTTCCTAGCTCTTTCTTGAGCTCTCTTTAATTTTTTTCGTATAGAATCATGTGGACACGTAAACAATTTAAAAAAACACATCATACTCAGGATAGATTTCATAAACAAGATAATAACCATACTTATATGGTATTCTATGCACTTCAAAAGAAGAATTTGGTGTAGATTCGTCATATATGTGTTAATTATAAGTGAATGATTAAGAACGTTGGTGTCGTTAATCGAACCGGGAGAACCAAAAAGTGCATGTCAAATCCACAAATCTTATGACGTCACCGCTTCAAGTATGATCGTTGGGTGACCATTATCACCTCGGCTAAATTGACCATGGTGTGATGTAGGGAAATTTTCTCATGTCCAATGAAGACAATCTAAACCTCCTATCATTCCACAAAACCATGTGCACTAGCATGATGAGTTTGCAATTGTAAGTTGTCATTGCGTATAAGCTTTCGTAAATATTTTGGACCATAAAACTCAATAACAAGATTTGCAAAAAAAATGGAGATTACATCGTGCAGTTCTAGAGAATATCCTAAAACTCTACTCCAACACATCCGACGTGATGCCATATGCTAATTAACGAAGTGTGATTGTGCATTTTTAAGGGAGTGAAGCCGGGTGTACCTATAGCATCGGGACGTTGTTGGAAAAAACTACACTCACTCGTTAAATCTTCGACTATATGTTTGTATAAACCTTTGAACGTTTTGAAGCGCCTTCGAAAGTAGTACCCTTGCAAACTGGCATTCTCATGAAAGTAGTCTTGTATCAAGTGTTGATTGGCTTCTTCACGGTTTCTATAAATATATCTTCATGTTCTTCGTTGAGAACGTTCAGTTACGTTAATGCATAAAGTGTCATACGCCGTTATTTGAGCACAAGCAACAACAACATAAAAAATAATTTAAAATTTTTCAGAAGACAAAGATGATGACATTTTTTTTACTGATTTTGAGAGAAAAAACAATAGAAAGATATAAAATTTTGGTTTTTGTTTGAAGAAATAATGAGAGGTGTAATATATATATATATATATATATATATATATATATATATATATATATATATATATATATAACCGTTCAAAGGTCCTTTTGCCAACCACTAATCACAAAACATGGCCAAAATGGGGAGATGTGCGGCCAAACCAAACCCAAGACCACATGGGGAAGAGGGGAGGGTTCCCTTGCCTATGTGGCACAAGGTGTGACCAAATCGCGGTCCAATCCACCGAGTCTAATACGCCTAAATTCGGGATTCAGTCCTACCTGTTTGATTCCTGGTTTTTTCTTGGAAATATCGAACTTGATTCGGAATATTAATAAACACTTTATATTGCTTGTATTCAAAACTAAAATCATTCTGAGCTTATATGTTGTAGCTTGTAGGTAATTGGAGGATATTTTCTATTCTATAAGCACTAATAGATCCGACGAGGAGATAAACGGTCGACAAGATGATGCTGCAGGATGGTTAGAAGTTAGGAGAAGAAGACAACTGACGATGGAGAATGCAAAGGAAATCATCTCCTTCTTCATCTCCAATACTCCAAATGAAACCAACAAGGAATCACTCATCACAATATTTCAAAATTTTGGAAAACTAGTAGACATTTACATAGCGCATAAAAAAGATAACAAAGCATACAATTTTGGTTTTGTAAGGTTATGGGGGATTGACAACAAGGAAAAAGTAGAGAAAGCAATGGATGGAATCAGATGTGGTTCCAAGAAACTCAAGGTGAACATTGCCAAATTCAAGAGGAAGCAGTTGAAGGACAGTGGAGCTAACTTCATATCAGTACCCTCTAAACCTCCCACCACCACTTTCTCCAACATTCGAAGTGGTAAACCCTTCAGAGATGTTGTTATTGGGAAAACGCCGACTTTAGTTGTTGAATTGAAAGCGATACCAGGTCTGGAGAGCAGGGTTTAAAGAGCTTGTATCATTGGTGAAGTCATTAGCTTGGAACACCTACGTAATCTCCCTTCCCTCTTGGAAGCATATGATACCCTTGCCCTGAGAGTCTTCTATATTGGTGTGATGGGAGTAATCCTCGGATTCCACACCACCATGGAGACTTAGGAATTCCTGTCAAACAAGTTATATTGGAAAAAATGGTTTAAGTCACTAAACCATGGAGGAATTGATGATATCAAATTTAAGAGATTGACATGGTTAAATATAGTACGTCTTCCTTTTCATCTCATGGATGAGGAAAACTTCAGTCCAATTGCTAAGATTTTCAGAAAGCCACTAGAAACCTAGGGATGTGATAGTTTCATTTTGTTTACTTCTTTTCCTAACTTACTTTAGCATAAATCATCTCATTTTAGTTAGTCTTTATGCATATTTCCTCTTTTTTTTTTATTGTTAATCGGGTTCTTTCTAGTCTTTGAGTATGATTGCAAATTTTTTGAAGACTAACATGGAGCGGAGATGTTCGGGATTGTGGGATTCAAATGAGAGTTGAGGGCAATGAAGAAACATGGTCTTGAGAAGATCAAAAGAAGATATGGGTTATTTTGGAGGCATTTTATTGGCAATCAATGGGCTTGATCTTAAAAGAAGATGGAAAATAACATTTAAAATTGCAGGTTGATCGATTGATCGAGTATTCGGGCTTTAAAGGATTTGGAAAAGACAAATTGGGCTCAAACTGAAGAAAAATTGAAGATTTGTGGGCTACAATCTAATGAAGAAGTAGTGGATTAGTGGGCTAAAGCAGTGCATGCTCGACAAATGGAAGTGGCTCCATTTTCAGCCAGTTCACGTGGCCCGCGTGAGTTCTTGCAGGGGTATTTTCTTGATTTTTCTTTTGGCTTCTATTTGAGGAAGTTTGGTGGGACTCTTTTGATACTTCTACAGCTCCTAAATTTGAAGGTTTCTCTGTAGATTTCTGGAGTACTTTGAAGGCCAAGAACACCTCAAAAACATCATCTTTTTGCTCTTGATTCTTGCTAGATGTTTGGTATAATTTATTCTTACTTTGTTTTCTTGAGTTTAGTCATGTGAGGATAAACTAATATTTGTTGACTTTGGTGAAATCAGTTAAATGTTGGTTGAATGTTGAAAAACTCCATGAACTTGCTCTTGAATCTTTATGAGAATGTTTTATGTTTTAGCATCTTCTAGCTACTTGTATGTTTTTATTCATGAGTGTAAATGTATTTGTAGTGATTAGTTGGCTAATTTCTTGATTAAGTAATGGATCCTCAAATTAGCAAGCAACAAGTGGTTCTTATGTTAGTTTTCACTTCACATAATCATAAAAACATTTTCTCAAACATGTTAGTGAAAGCATTTGACTACTCTTGGATTTGGTGACTTTTTGGTTCTTAATGCTAGTTAACTTTCACTAATTAGATGCTCAATGGAAATTGTGACTTTAATTAAGGAAATTGTTATGAGCTTCTCTATTTATTTTGATAGCTAAGAAAAGTCTAGGTAATCTCAAGCTTCTTGTATTACTATAACCAAATTAGAGATTTAAAACAAGTCTTGCACCATTGGATTCTAATGATACGTTCACCAAATGTTCAAGTGAGGAAACCTTAAGTCAACCATCTTTCTCTTATTGATTTTACATTAAACTCTTGTTTTTGTTGAATGGTCTACTTAAATCTTAGTTGAATTCTAGTTTTATTTCAAGTTTTTCAAAAGACCAAAACCCCCCATTTTATTTTTATTGCCATTTTACAAGTATTTTTTCAAAGAGATTTTAATGGAGTTATAAAATTGAACCAATCTCCACGGATACGATCCCTGTACCACTATACACTATTTTAGTGTACAAGATTTAGGGTTATTAATTTTTTTGGCCTCGACAACCACCATGATGCAATTGGGATAATGTTGATATTTCGACTGAACGAGCTGTCATCCTAACGGCTTATCATAAAAGGATCAATGAGGTAATCACGGTCACGATGGGTGTGAAATCTTATAGGATTGGAATCATAGAGAAGGATGAAGATTTTCATTCTTTCTCCCTCAGTCCTGAAATCCACTTATCCACTATTAGCAAGGATGAAGACGATGATGATGTTATCGAAGAGGATTAACATGAGGAGAACGAAGATGGTGAAGATGCTGAAGGTATTTCAGATACTTTGTGTAACGCCCGCAGATCCGGGCTAGTCAATTTAGAGGCAATAGGGATCGAAAATGACTTTTCGACAAAAGATTATTTAGAATAAATAATCTTAACCAAGTTGTAGAATATATCACAAGGTTTCCGTACATATAAAGAACGCCGAAATCCAAGTTATAACGAAGAAGTTATGACCCGTCGAAGTTTTATGGCAAAACCTGCACGGCACCGGGAAGCGTAAATAGTGAATTTACGATAGAGCGAGATTTATCCTTAGCAATATAAACGAAAGTCGTAGAACATGTTAAACTAAGAGCTTCAATAAAAAGAACGCCCAAATCTGACTTCGTATGAGGAAGTTATGATTTTTCTAAGATTCGGCTTAGCAGTGCACGGCCCGAAACTCGAATTTTAGTTCGAGCGGTTTTTGGCTTACGCGACCTAAATGACAGTTGAAGGTCTCATTAATAGGAACTCAACGGTAAAAAGACAGATGAAAACGGAGTCCGGATGAAGGAGTTATGAACTCTTCGCGGTCATTTAACAGTCTAAACGCTTCCTACTGTTAAATTTGAGATCGGTCGAGAATTAGCTGATGGAGTCTAAACGAAAGTTGTAGATCTTGATTTTACCTACGCGTGGATATAAAGAACGTCGAAAACGGAGCTCGTATGCGAAAGTTATGATTTTTCTAAGTTTGAAGGTTGATACGCGATAGGGGGTGACGTGGCACCACCAGAATTGGACATGTGGCACCACCAGAAGGCCACCACATGGACCAACTCGACGAGTCATGACTCAGACTCGAAGAGTCCATCGTATTTCTCCCCTATAAATAGAGGTGTCGGGTTCCATTCATTCTCACACCTTCAAACCCTTCTTTCTCTCTCTAAACTCTCTCTCTAAGCCTCCCTAACCCCCTAAGGCCTAGGGTAACTCCCTAGCACGAGGCGGAAGCCCCGGAGCGCCTGATGGCTCCGAGAAAAGAGCCTTTCGGCTCGGGAAACGCTGCTCCAGCGAAGCCCGGTTTTGCGAAAAACCCGCTGTAAGTGAGCTACGTCTACGCTAGTTTTAATATAGCTTCTAATTAATTATAGTAACATTATTAGGACCTTAAAATAATTGTTTGGGCTATTATTATGAGTTATATTGAGTGTTATTTAACGCTTATATAATAATAATAATAATAGCTATACTATTAATTAGTCGCGATTATCGTTAGACTAAACCCTAGTGGTGTTTTATCGAAGGAAATTGTTTTGAGAGTATCAAAGCGCTGTCCGAGTGTTGAGTCACCACCTATCAGGTGAGTGCATGGTCCCTTTCATCTTACACATAGATATGAAGTATTTTATTATAAATTACGTGCTATGTGTGCATATTGTCTGAATACTTGTTGTCTATGCTGATGAAAGATTTTATACATGTTTTAAATGATTTAAACTATATATGTATTTTATATCTACGAAAATGTTGGGGTAAAACATGGGTAGATATAATAGATGAAATATGAGTTGGATGATGAGTTGAGAGGTGATATAGACTATGAGGTGTGGGTGAGAGGTGTACGATGTGAGAAGCCTTTTTCCAAACGATGTCCCCGTCATTCAACAGAGTATGGATGACAACCGCGGACTATCCTAGATAGTCCAGTGGAATCACTAGCAGGCTCACAACCTGTAGGTGTTGTGAACGATGTGTTCACCCGGTGTACTCTAAACCTTGGTGATCATGCAGACTTGATACCTAGACCCTGGCGATCATGCAGACTTGGTGCCAAAACCATGGCGACTATGCAGACTTAGTGCATATTGTATAAATTCTGGCGACTATGCAGACTTAGTGCCTAAACCCCGGTGACGATGGACTTCGTGCCGATTCCTTAGGTTGATCCTTAGGAACGTATGAACGAGGAATAATTGATTCTTAGGGTAGATCCTTAAGAATAAAACAGATAATGGGGATGGGTAATTGGGTGATTGTTTGATTGTTTGAAAATAATAATTATATTATTGTGGGTTGAAAACCCTATGTACTCACCAGGTTTCCCAACCTGACCCACTCAGTTTATTTATATCACAGGTGTTGATACGAAGTCACTTTACACTGAGAGATTTAAAGAGATGTAGATCATTAGTGTAAATAAATGTAAGTTCTGTTTATGCTTATGTTTTTGTATTAACGATGACATCCCAAACGTTTTGAAATGAATAAAATACGTTTCTTCGAAAATGTTTTAATAACGTATTTATCATTTTTTTCTGGGAACAAATTCCGCAACCTTTTTATAAAATGAAGTACTCTGATTTTCATAAAGCATAAACAAAAAACTCGGTCTTTTCTGGCCGTGAAAATGGGGATGTCACAGTTGGTATCAGAGCATTAGTTTAAGCGAACTAGAAATATGGATTTATTTCTAGACTTAAACTTAGAATGCTAAGCGATGATTGTGAGGTGTGAGCACTAGCTTATTTTAGGAATTGTGCCTAAAATACTTTTATGTGCTAAATACTTGTGCCTGATATGTTGTTAGTTGTTCGGATCTATGGTCTGTTGCCGACCGGATCTGGAAACCTTATGTGTTTAGGATTCTAAACGTACGACTACGATATTAGAACTAGCATATAAACGTTTCGGAGTGATAAGGATGATTTAACCGTCAATCCTAAGTAAAGATCTAGATTCACCTTATTCGGTGTATAGATCAAGATGGCAAGAACCCGTAGTGGAAACGTGAATGCAAATGGGAACAGAAACCAACCCCCAGTGATTGAGCAAATACCGGTGATGGAAGCCGCTGTTGAGCTAGTCACAATGGCCGGAGTGCAAGCGATGATCCAAG